AACTACCTGAAGTTTCATGGTCGTACATCAAAAGTCCTAATGTTGTTGTATCTTCTGCATGGATTGTCAATAAGAGATTACCATCATTTGCTTGTCATCAGAACCGAGTTGATGACATGCATCAGAAGACGAATATGGGAATGTTCAGCACCGGTAATCGTGGGTGAGCTGCGAAGGTGGTGCAGTATCTTATAAACTTGCTCAAAGATGGGCCGCACATGCACTGCAATCATCTGGTCTGCTGGGTTTATGGCAGCTGCTACGTCTGTCATCCACCCGAGTTTCCGTGATGTCTCGTTGTTCACATCACAAGCCAACTGCTGCAGAAGGGATATCAGGACTCCTTGGTTCAATGGAAGAGGAACCATTGTTAAAATTGCATGTAGATCAACCTGCAAAACCAGGATCCATCAAAGCAAGAACACAAGTTTATACCCTATAAGAGTTTCAAAAATAAGGAAAGAGAGGGAGGTTACTCAAAGACTGTTGTTAAGAAGCAGGCTTATTGTTATAGGCCTATATGAGATTAGAAGAACAGCAGGATGAAAATGAAAATAATATTTGCTTGTGTGCTCAACATCTAGAATATATATACCTGTGAACATAACCAGGATACAATAGAGAGATCACTTCTTTGTAAGGCAATGGTGAAAGCTTCATCATACTTGAGTTCAGATATCAACCTTGAAAGCTCCGTTGTTGGATCCAAGAGAACGTCAACCTAAAACATACATACAAAAGCCCTAAAGACTGGAACAGCCAAACTCAAACTACTAAAAAACAAAGTAATTTCTCATAGATATCAGTTTTAGCAGTCCATATTCACTACCTTCCTGCATTGAAAACCAGAATTAAAAGAATAACAGGGCAAACCTTCTCATGGAGACCACTCAAGGATCCATTGCTGATTTGGGAAACCAAAGGACTGCCTACATTGGAGTTTGCTCCGGCTGCTACAAAAGCTAACAGTTTTCGTTGGCCCTCAGCCAATTCTCCACTTAAAGTTCGAGCAATTGATGATGCAGAATTTATGGAGTCCTACAATTAACATCAAATTCAGTTGTGCAAATTACACAAATCTGCATTAGAAAACAGCAAGAAACTGACATGTAACAAAGCATAACAAACTAACTGACCCTTAAAGCATGTGCAAATGATGAGTTCACGGACTCAAGTTGTTGCTGAGCTGCATTTGCATGTTCTATCATGCCTTTTTGAAATGCAGAATCCACTTGCTCAAACATTGTTTTACATGACATCTCAAAGGCCGGGATCACTGAAACTTCAATACTAGACTTCAAAGCATCCTAACAATAAAACTGACAGTGAGAAATTGACTCCCTCCATTTCATGTGACACAATCATTTAAAGAGAATGCAAACATCCAGCTCAATTGCTTTACCAAGTGAGAACTTCCGCATACCTGGAGGGCTTGTCTGCCAGAAGTTTGAAATTGTGCTTGAATTTGCCTGGCAACTGTGGCTTCAAGCTTTGGATTAATGGACTTTTCTAGCTGATTCACTGCCTTATCTCCAACTCCTCTCTGCAGTACAAAGGATTGATTAGATTCCAACAGCCCAACTTCCTGGTAAAAGAGATAGATCTTTAGAATTCTAACCTGGAAGGACTCAGCAATGGCTGAAGTTATTGTTTTCTCTATAGCTGGAGTAAGTGCTCGAGTGACAGCTTGTCCAACTGTAGCTAGTTCCTTCTTCACTACTTTTTCTAACATGACAGCCAACTCCTTATTTACTGAGTTATTGATCAAACTGGTTATCTTCTGTGCACGGTCTTGTGATAGCTTCTCATTCTTCACATTTTCTTCCTGAAAACGAGCCCATAAAGCATCAGTGTTGGCCTTAACAGCTTTCTCAATGTTACGTCCAAGGGCTGCCTCTATTCTTCGTCCTTCTTTTGTAACTGGAAGGTTAACTATATTCGACATTTGTCTCTGCATATCCTTTTGCATGGTCATTAGCTGCAAGAATGATGGAAATCAAAGTCAAGATAACACATAAGGTGCAAGTGCAATTGGTAGGGAAGGATAGGTGTTAGGTCATATTAGACAGATGAAATCACTGCAAAAGAAGAAGAAGAAGAAGAAAAAGAAGAAGAACATCAATATTAGAAAGAAGCTTTCAATATTCGTACTTGTCAATAATAAAAGCTACTTGATAGGTTATGAAGTGCCCCAAAATTATCAAGACTTCACCTTTCATCATACTTGGAAATTTAAGTATTCTATTATTTCTCACTTGTGCAATAACCACGCAAAATGTGCCACATTACAAAAAAGTACACTAGGGCAATCACCTGATTAAGCATCTCCTGCATGGCCAAAATCTGAGGAAATGCAGGATCAGTGGAGGGAAGACTTGAAGCCCCTCCTGGTTCATTGGAAGAATCTGCTGAGTTAAAAACACTTGAGGGTAGAGGAGATTGACCAGATGCATGAGAACTTTTCACCTTCTGCTTTTTCCCTTTTGTACTTGGTGCTGGTGATTGTCTTCCAGTCATATCTTTTCTGGGATCATGGGTTTCTTCTTCACCAGTATGAGGTTGGGCAAGTGGCTCCGAAACACCAGTACCTACTTGCCTGGAACCCTCCAAAATATATGAATCCCCTGATAATCCACAGGACTCTCTAACCATCTGAATGCCAAGGTCTGATGACTGAGAGCAAAAGACCCTATTCTCAGTGTTAGGGTTTTGAGATTCTTCCTTGGAATCAAATTCATCATTTTCAGATCTTGCTTCACCCACTATTTTTACCTCCACCTCAGCATTGGTCACATCGCTTTTGTCAACAGAGTCGTGTACATTTGACTCTCTCTCAGTTTTACTATTTGCATCAGAGGATGAAGCAGCCATCAATATCTCTGAAGGAGTCACGAGATGTGTTGGATGCCTGAAAATAATACGTGGACTAGACATATCATCTGATGCTATTTTCTTCTCATTGCTCCTTGAACCATCATGCAGTGAAGACACATCAGACAAATTTGCTTGAGTGATGTCCATTTGCCTGTCAACTGAATAATCAGTTACTGGCTGGTTCCCTACTTGCTCACTGAACTGGGAAGCTAGCTCAAAGCTTTTTTTTGGACTCTGAAAACCAGAAACTTTCCTAGACAACCTAGGACTCGGAGGAAGAGGTGGAGCACAAGCAATATCAGCATCACTAATTGCTGATGCCAAAGCAGCAGGTTTAGAAATCATATTCAAAGTATTATATTCTTGTGCACTTGTTGACTCTGTTGAAGCAGAGGTCAGCGGATACCTAACTGCAGTTGAATTTTCAGAGCTAGCGGCTTGTGCACATGGTTTGGGAACTGTACCAGATAGGGGCAACTCAGAAGATCTACTTCCAGACAGGTCAAAAGCAGCAAGGCCTTCAGTAATAGTTACATCATTTGAAAGACTGGAATTTGACTTCTCCAATGGCAGTGGAATGCACTGGCATAACTCTAAATCATATTGCTGAATAGCCTGTGTCTGAACACAGTAAACCTTGACAATATGTTCATCAGGGGGATCACTTGTCCCTGTAAAACTTAAAATAGGCATGGTAACAGTGAATTCTGATATATAATCCATATGTGTTGCTGCTGGACAAGAACCATACTCCATATGTACAGCATATATAGCATTCTTCTTAGCATTTGCAAGTAACAAAAGGCCTGCTTGAGACAGTGCTAGCACTTGGTTAAAGAATGCCTCCTCAACTTGAGATTCAGCAGAACTCTTCAAGTCCAGTGTTTGGGTGCAAGTCCAAGAGTCAGCATTACTTGGCAGTAACCAACCTTCCTCACTTCCTAAGGCCCAAATTTTGACTTGATGATTTTGTGGTCCCTGTAACAAGATAATGAAATTTACTAAATAAATACTAAGAATTACGGACATTCATAAAATCAAAAGCTAAATACCTCAAAATGAAAGTCAAGGATGAAAAGCTAAATACCTTAAAAGGAAAGTAAAACATGAAAAGCTAACCACCTAAATGCCAAATCAAGAGACAAACAAAATAAAATGAACAGAAAGCACATACCCCTGTTATAAGTATAATGTGATCCGGACGATTTGGAGCAGTCAAGAATATAGCTGAATAAACAGGTTGACCATCGTGTGGTCTCAACACTGCTAGTGGTGCTGATTTGAGGTCTTCCCATATTTTTATCTGTAGTGAAACATAAGTTTCATATGATGCAGTTAAAAGCTATTCCAATTTCTTATCAAATGAAATATTAGGTCCTATAGGAAATGTTTTTGTATAGCCATGCATGTATAACCAACACAAACAATATACACAAATAATGTACAGAACAGACAAAATCCATCAACTCAAAGCAGCTTTTACTTGTATTAAAAATATTCATATAGAAAAAATAAGCACACCTTAAATGAGAATTTTGGCACTAAAATGCAAAAAAAAAAAAAAACCTCATTATAAAAATTTGCAGGTGGGTGCAAAATGAGCCAATGAGTTAAAAAGAACTAGTTTATCTAGACCTTAATTGTTCTAAAAATCTTACAGAAGAATTAGTTTTATATGAGATGCTAACCCTGGTTCAGATATCAAATCAGGAGAGCCAATTTGGCTGCTTACATACTACTGATTTCAGCAAAAGAGACATCCCTTTCTCCAGGTTTCCCTTTTTCTTTACTTTGTTTAAGTAGAAACATATATAAAAATTAATGTAACTACTTATTCAAATAAAACTTCAGCCAGAGTACAAGAAAACTCATTTTAAGTTCCAGAGGATGCACATTATAGTGAGAACTGAGAAGCTACACATGCCAAGTAATCACCATAACTAGTATAAGTAAAAAAGACAAAGTAATGAAGAGAAATACAAACCGTGCCATCCGTGGAAGCAGAAACCAATCGGGTGGTCATCCATTGGCACATGGACAAATCAGTCACTTCTCCATCGTGTCTACCAACCAACTGGATCCCATCAATCAACTTGTCAATGGAACATTGGACTGGTGGAGATGCATCAGATGAGAAGACTTCATTCTTCCCAACTTTTGTAGTATCAATTCTTAAAACAGATTTTCCAATAGCAACCACCAAAACTTCCTGCATTGATTGCAAGCTTCAAACCATATTGGACTAAACAAAGAAAGAACATGAAAAGATGGGCTTTGAGATTTCACATGCATGCGCGTGCACACACACACGCATGCACGCACAACAATGAAGAGAGAATCTCCCCTCAACAACTGTATTTGAAAGATTCTTACTTGTTTGTGCTTATGCCAACAAACTCGTGGGTGAATATATTCTTCATCTCCTAATACATGAACAGCAACAACAATCTTTCCTGAAATTTGTGATGTGTCTTCTTCAACTGGACCTTCAGTTATCTTCCATACAAACACTCGTCCTTCCAAGCTCACACTGCAAAAGAGTAAGTCAAAACAATCAAAAGACAGACAAGAAGAAGAGAATAACATTTCAAGAAAGAAAACCACCTAGCCAAAAGGTGAACATCCTCAGCAAAGAAAGCCATGTCCGTGACCCTCTGAGAAATCAAAATTTCAATGAGATAAGCAAAGTGCTAAAAATGATAAAAGAAGATAGTGCATGGAGGATAATTCAAGTTTAAAAAATCACCCAAAGCCAAATTAAAGTTTGAAGAAATATATTGATCCAAATAACCAACTCAACAGCGGTTTATCAAAATTCATTTCCTCCAACAGTAAGATCACTACAATCAACCTTTATGTAACAGTAGCAGAAACACTAACTGTGTCGGCCATTTATCTCTATCTACACAATGTAACAAGGTACAATTGACTTAACCAACAAAGAAAAAACAGAGAGGCCAAATGATAATAGATTTCAACACTAGCACCATGCATGCCCAAATCTTACATCTCATTTGCAACTAGTAGCTTCTGCACAATAAAAATACTAAAGACAAATTTTTTTTAAAAGGAAAAAAAAAATTTTTAAAAAGGAACCTTCAATGCCGTAGTTTGACAACAGTGCACTGCAATGCTAGAAAACTTACAAACTTCATTTCAACGCCATGGTTATCATAATGAAGGCGAGCAACGTGATCATAAGAAACTATAAGATTAAAAAAAAAAGACCTGTGTGTGACCACGGAGCAATGATCTGAGGGCAGTATTTATGTTAAGAATACGAATGTTCCCTCCTTTGAGTCCATAGCAAATGTAAGACATATTGACAGCAATCTGCCTGCCCACCACCAGCTGGGGGTCAGAACCGTACTTGGTTATGGGCGTGACCTCGAGCTGAGGCTGGGCCTCCCCAGGAATTCTCACGTCCACGTCATACGTGAAATGGCTGCCCTCCAGCCGCCTTCCCTTGGGCAGCTTGCCGCTTGGCACCTTCAACGGACCCACATTTGCACCTCCATTCCCCATAAATTCCGGTGGAGGTAACTGCTGGCGAGGAGAGAGTTGTGGGTTTTGCGGAGGGGAGTTGATGAGGGCGAGAATTTGGTTGCCTGCATTGAAAGGATTAAGGGGCGGTGAAGGGTAAGACAAGGATTTACCATCTTGAGGCGAATTATGGAAATTCTGGGGAGCAGCGGTGGTGGTAGAAGGAGGCATGTAGAATTGTTGGTATTGGGGGTGAAAGAAGGGAGGAGAAGGAGGGGGATAAGACGAGGGAGAAGGGGTGGCTCCCTGTTGCTGCTGCGGATATGGGTTCGTCGCCGGAGGAGATGGGGTTGCCGTTCCGGCCGGTTTGAAGAATTTGTGTACGTCAAAGGGTATGGGTTGATTTGGGTTTCCCGGAGCGGCCATGATTTCCGATGCTGGAATTTGATCTGTACCGTATGAGATTTGAACAAGCGCGTATGTAGAACAAGGATCTGAGTGAAGAAGAAAGTTTTGGCACTGCAAGCAAGCAGGAGAAGAGAGCGCCCCCAGATAGGGAAGAAGATGACTTGAAAGTGAAGAGGTGGGGGACCTCGGGAGACCAAAATTAACGTTGAAGAGGATCAATGAGTAAAATATATAAATTTTGGGGGAAATTTGTAAACTTCAAAAACAGTTTACGGAAGTTCCATCTTCGTCCCCGAGGTTTGGGCTTCAACTGGGCTATTTGGATTTTCGGCTTTGACTCGACTCGTTTAATTAGTGAATGGGCTGACGGACCAACCACCGAACCACGTTATAATAAAAGTATTGGGCTTGATGCGGTGGGTTTCTTTTCCGGATTTTCATTTTATGGGCTAGAGCCCAAAAGATTCATAAGAGATGAGGTGAGCAATGGCGTAAGGCCTAATCGAAGAACACGGCAAGATCCGCTCCAATGTGATCGTGGCATTGGCACGAAAGCTTCCTTTTCCATTTGAAATTCAAAACCGAGTGAAATAAATAAATAAATAATTATAAATTTGGAGACGCTAATGTATAACCGCTCACCATAAAAGGGGAAAAAGAAAGGCATAATCACTCAATGATATATTATTCACAATTGAATATAATAATAGTGAGTAAGAATTTTTATTATCTAATAAAATAGAAATATAATAATTAATTAATAAAAATTTTATATTTATTTTTAACTAATTATTATTTAAATAAAATTTTAATTATTTAATATTTATAAAAAAAATACATATCAATTTTAACTCTTAAAAAATTGAAGCATTTAATTTTATTTAATTAAAATTTAATTTAAAATTTAAAAATTTATCTTATTAAATATTAAATTTTAAAATTTAAAATTTTAATTTTTTAAAAATCAAAATTAATATACACTACTAATCTCCTATAATAAAACATGTACTAAATTTCCCATCAAAAGAAAAAACCAAAAAGTACATTACCTTAAATAAAAAATGGTTAAAACTTCATTTTCGTCTCTGAATTATTGTATGAATTTTTTGATTTGGTTTCTAAACTAAAAAAATCCATGATTTGGTCCCAGCTGTTTATTATTTTAATCTCGATTTGATCATTCCATTAAATATCCATCATTAACTCACAGTGAGTTAATGATATGGTAAAAATTTTAGACATGTCAGATCAAAATGATGACATGGCAACATAACAGGTTATATTCATGCCATGTAACCCACCAAAATTACAATTTTACCCTCATCTTCTTCCT